ATTCTTATGACTTTGAGCACTTCCCAAGCACGTTACTACATTTTTTGTTGTTAACAAAATCACAGGTTTAGCGTGTTGAACTCTCAAGCATCAATGTGTGAGGGCCAGGTCATACAACAAATGTTGCTCTGCCTTATTATTGTGTAAAAAATTGTCAACGCAGTACGAAATGCCCAACAAATACTGAACATATGATGACGGAAAGTCATATCGGCATCTGCAAAGTTCAATTTTGTAAAGGACTCTGGTAAAGGTGTCTTGTTATTTTCAAAAAGGCTGTATTTCTGCTGAAAATAATACTGTCTATCTGTAGTTAAAAGCAACGCTGATTTGTGGTTGTGATTATATGGGTTCAGACTGACTGATACAAATAATGCAATGGCTGAGAAAAAAAGTTAAAAAGTAAATATGACACAGGTACAAGAACACACTCACAGATAGTATGAAAACAACAAACTAGATAGCATTTGGGATTTGGCTATTTCATTGGTTTTGAGTGATTACATGTCTAGCTTATAAAAAGGACTGCTTACCGCCTTGCATGCCTCATATTAATATATTTGAGTGGACTAGCGTATGTGCCGTCGCCAGCCCTGTGTCAAGGGGACAATTTCTTTTGTTAGCCAAAGTTGTCGGGATAAAATTGATCCCCATAGCAATTCATCCCCTCAATAAGTCCAATGCACATGCAATTCCACAGCTATGGTGTACATGTATGCATGGGCTTGCCTTCAATATGTCAAGGGCACAATTTGTTTACTTTGGACAGAGTTGTAGGGCTATTTTCTTAATTCCCTTGTTTTTGGTCCCCACAAATAGGTGAAATAACGTATGTTTGTTCCAAATATGGAACACATATGGTTGTACAGAGTGTGTGTATCAAGTAGCAAAGCATCCTATCTCAACACAAACCACTCAAAAATATACCGCCACCATCACAGAGATCATACCCTTGAGAGGCATATGCATTTTCAGCTCGAAGAATGCATCCTTTGGGTGTAGATTTCAGTATTTTAATCAAGACTGTCACAAAACCAGATACTACACACTACGCAAAACCATTCACAAGACCAGCTGCCAGACTGGTCGCAAGAACATGTACATGTACCAGGGCCAGCAATGCCAGTGGAATGTTTTTGTTGCCGTTTGTTTGAATAGCTCGTGACTTCAATCAGACTGGAAGTCCTGTATTGGTTTTCTGATGCTATTGTGGGGTCTTACCAATTTCTTAAGTGGTCTAAAAGTTGCTACGATATCGGTGCATTGTTTTTAAATGCACTCTCCCACCTTAAAACAGCCAACAGTGTCAATCAGCTTGGACAAGAAGTTTCCCATACCTGTATGTGAATGTATTGCCTGCAAGGTTGAGGTGAGACAAGTTGGCACAGCATCCCCTGAAGAGGGCGACAAACACATTGTCTAGGGCACACTCGGTGTCGGCCATGTTGATGTGCGTCAATGAGTTAGGCTGGGCCAGGAATCCGGTCAAATTCTGTAGAGATGAGAAAGGTTTACCTTGTGAACAAAAATGTGACAGATGTTGGTCATTCTGTGGAAACAAGTAGTAAATGAAAAACATCCATCCTGTCCCCATTCTCCAGCATCCCTGTTTGGAAAATATATTCAGTCACAAATGAAATTGAGACTACTTTTCTCAAAGCAACTCAATATTTTTCTCCTCTTGCCCCCCCCCCATATCCCAATACCTGAATGCACTAAGTACATGATATGTTTACACGTCACATTATGTGTAGGCCTTTCTGAGTGCTTGCTCAGTATAATGTAAAGCTTAGCAGGTATACACAGGTAAAAGCTGATCTAAAAAGCCACAACCAAGAGAGCGCACTCACACTGATGTCTCCATCCTTGAACACATTTCCAGACACATCCAGCTTGACTAGAGAGGTGGACATGAAGTTGTTCTGCACCAGTGCTTTACCCAGGTGAAGAGTTCCTGCCGACACCACACACGTGAAATTTCAAACTTCCTCACCATTAAACAAGCCTTGGAATAATACAATGTAAGTTCCATGTATGCAGATTCCCAAGGTGTATTGGGTGATATTCACTTGCACTCAACACATGTCAAGTACATGTACATAAAAACTTCCTCATTTTGACAAGTATTACCCCTGTGCAAACTGATCAAATACTATACCTAGATAGCCATTTTCTGTGCATTTTTTTCTATACATCTGCGGGTTGTTTGGCAAGATTTTTATGAAAGACAAGTTGTGAGGTGAATAGGTGACCTTCAGTTGATATCAAACTGAAACAGAAACTTGTGAACAGCACTGGTTTTGATTTCATTGATCGGTTCATTGATAGAGTATCTTATGCAGAATGTTGAACAAGATGACTGTCATCAATTGAACACAGCAAGACCTGAGTTGACAATGATCCTCAACAGACTTCTATTTTTTTTATTTATATTACTTGAAGCATTCAATTGTATGTACTGTGGCCTCAGTGGCAAAAATGCGAGCTGTTGCGTTCCTAGTTGATCCAATTATCACCGACAGCATTGATAACGAGAAGGAAATATGACGCATCAAGAAGTCTGTCCAAAAGTGTTGCTATCCCATATTAACCCGACAGAGGCAAAAGCGAGAATTTTATGAAAAGAGACGGAAGAACAGAGAATTTTACACGACATAATCATGTACCACAAAGGAAACAATTGGTGGTCCTTCTCACATCAAAAAAACTTCAGTAACATATTTTCAACCTCCAGTATTAATGTGCATTTCAAGCCTATGTGCACTCTCAATGACTTAAGTCACCTCAGGCTATAATGGCAAAGGTCCAGACTGGTTTGATCGTCCACATCCCATGCCAAGGGCAGACTAGACAAGGAAATTCCACTGATATCTATATTCAGTAGACTGAGCAGTCCCTCAAGACCATGTTTTTGGAACACTATCGTCCCAATGCCATGCGTACAGCAATTTGTCAACATATTCCTATTATTATCTGGTTATTAAACATATGAAAAACCAACATCTGGAACAGGGAAGCCAGGTCTTTTGAAAGGGGGTGAAGGAGGCAACGTACATAAGAACCTGCAAACAATCACTGAACTGGGATGGGGGGCGGTATAAACTCCAAGGAATCTATGATCTGGTGTTAATTTCATGTTTGTGAGCTCACAGATTAAACATTGGGCTCATCCTGCTGACGAAGACCAAAGTTTTAGTTGAAAATTTCAGGTACCAATTTCTCAGGTACTGTGAACGACAGTTTAATCATCAATACCAAAACTCTCTCGACAGAAATATACATGTACCTCATATGATCAAAGAGTGCAAATTCTGAAATCAGCCCCAACCAAACCCAGAAAAAATCATCTACACCGGGTGCTGAAACTTTCAAAGACACTGATTATTAACATACTGCACTGGATTATATCAGTGGTCTTATTAACTCCATATTTTACCCTCGGCTGTAAGTCCTGTCTTGGCAAGGTTGAGCTCCACTAAGCCATTGGGTAATTTTGTCAACAGGCTGGACAGGTAGCGTATTCCACGGTCGTCCAGAGAGTTGTTGGACAAGTTGATGTGTCGGAGTGCTGTGTTTCGATTGGCCAGCACAGCTGTGCACATGTCTTGTGTGAAAGACCTGAGAGAAAATAAATAAGTAATCAACGAATGCCAATTGAAATAAGTGGGCCCAATGCATATTACATCAAAAATGAGCATTTATTCCTTACATGTGTGTTTTATTTAAAATAACTGGGAGAAAACACGGAATGTTTTAACACAAAAATACCTCTTGGTCTGACAGTGAAAAGGATTAAGCTGGAAGGATTCATGATGCAGTGAGCAACTAAGCATGTGTCTCAAAGAGGGCACTTTTCAATTTCTGTTGCCATTTTGTAACGGTATTCCCCTTAAAGCTGACCATCCCTGTTCACTGTTTATGCATGGTACCCCACCAACATCAATCTGGAACCCTATTTCATGTAAATACAGTGGAACCTCTTTAATAAGAACACTGTTAATACAAGATTCTGCTTATAACAAGGAAATTTGTAGGTCCCCATCCTTTGTTTTTCTTTCTGATAAAACAAGGTTCCTGTTGTAACAAGGTAATTTGCAAAATGCGAAGGACCTTTTATTAATGAGGTTCAACAGTAGTGCTGTTATCACACACACAAAGTCCACTTTCAATTGCGGATGTCCAGAAAAGGCAGACCTACATGTACATGTACATGCAGTCCTCACAGAAAATGAGCACTACAGGAGTGCAGCTTTGAAAGTTTCTAAACAATGGCTTCATATAAACAGCTTCTTTACAATTATTTATTTTGGACATAGTCATCCGAAATCCATCATCAACTCCAATAGCCGAAACATTCAAACTTCATGCTACATGTACATTGTATATCAGAGGCATAAGTAGTACACAGACGCTAATACAAACACAATCTTATCATCTGAGAGTCATTCAACTTCCAATTTTAAGCTCCTGTTTAGTTAATAACATTAATTTTCTGACATGCTTGAGATGATTTTGCATTGTCACATTCAGACAGCTATATGGTGGAGGAAAGATGTCAAAAACAGTAATGATCGGGAACAGGGAATATATGAGCATCCAACTGAATTTGTCAGATACAAATATGCATCATTTCTACCTAGGAAAGTTACTGGTATTTCTCTCCTACTTCGGTTTTTCTTTTAAAAACAAACTAAGCATTTTGTCATCTTTCTATATTGAGCAGTCAGCATCGCTGCAATTTCAATTCAAATCAAATCAAGCAAATTTCAACTGATTACCATAGTTAAGATATGCCTTAATCATTTCTGACTTGCTGGGAAACTTTTTGTTCAGAAGCAAACTCCTTCTTCCTTTCAGTACAGTTTTTCCAAATGAGTCAGCCAAATTTTTATTACATTTTCAAATTAAAATTTTAACCCGACTTGTCTTACTTTCATTTTAGAATTTCCTTTCACTATTTACAAATGTAAAACAGAGACGTCATTTTACATTCATTTACTACTAAAGCACTCACCATTTGAGTCCCACATTTTCCAGAATGAGTTGTTCGAGACATGATGATTTCTGTAGCACCTTGTTGATTTCTCGCGTTGCATCAGCACTCTGTGTAGCCAATGAAAAATATGTGCAAACATGTACAATCACATACACACAGATGAAGGCTTTCTGAGAGTTAGTCTCCTCTCTCAGACAATTTATAAGTACTCAGAAAATGGGAAATGACATACATAATGCATTCACAATGCCTTGTCAGAGGAGATTGTATGCTTGACCACGGGTAACAGATTCAATTGGACATAATTACATAATCTTTGTAATGTACATGTAGAGGAGATGACAAACGATATATGTGTGATACATGTAACTACATGTAGTTTGTTACTACATGTAAATAAAGAACACCTTTCAGTGAAGTTGATGCTTGTATCTGACATGGAATTATCCCATTTTGACTTATCCATTTGTACCTAAAATTGAAGAGAATGTGCTCTAGTTCAGAACCTACATAAATATATTTTAAGTGTAAAACAAAAATGTTATTTAAATGAGTACAACTATATGACCTTCACAGGACTTTTTTTTACTGATTTGATACAAAGACACTTTTTAATGGTAATTATTTAGACTTGAGAGCAGGTGTTATTTCAACTATCCTCCACCTCACATCTACCCTTTATTGTCCTGTATTAGAGGTTAAATGAAACATCCTTTTAAACCATGTCAGCTTCACTGTGTACCTGCCCTAATGGAACCAGGCGTTTTTTAAAGTTAGCATAAGACTGCAGTGACCACAGGACACTCACCAGCTTGGAGGCATTTCTGAAAGACAGTTTGGAGAACCAGTTGTTGTGGATTAAAGCTGCAATGATCGGAACAAGGTCTCTGCAACACAGACAAAGGAGCAACAAAATAACATTTGAGTAGGTGAAAACTGAGGAAGAAAGTGACTCGTTTCGTATCTGTATATATTTACATTTTCCTTGATGCACGAACTGATGCAAAATATAAAGTTTTGACTTGTCCGTAAAATGCACATTTCCATTTTCGCATTAACATTGACTATGAATAAACATTAAATGTTACAGATTGAATATTTCATGCAATTTAAAACCAAAAGCAAAACATGCATCAATTCTTTTGAATAGTTTCCACTTACTTTCATTGTTTCCTTAGGTAAACAAGACAGTAAACTCACCTATTGCTTAAATGGTCAAAATCATTGAGACACAGCTCCTTGGAGTCATGAGACAAGTAGATTGTGTCCACATCCTAGCAACAAAGGTCACAGGGAGAGGTTTAGTAATTGACAAATGCATCCCAATCATCTGCCAAGGCCATCCCTTCCAGAGGTACCAGTACGTAACACCATGGCGCTATTAAAAAGGTAACACTGAACAAAATGTTGGGCTACCTCAAACAACACAAACTGTAACTTTCTGAGGGTAGCTGGGGATGTAAAAGGAGTCTCAAACTTGACGGAAATGTTCAGTGTTTGATATCCTGAATTGTTATAGAGTCCTGAAGTGTGACGTCATTTAGAACCAGTAACTGCCATGCAAACGAATGGAGTACGTACGCATTGGTTCATGTGCTGGTCCTTTTACACACAAGACTGGCGTGTGACATAGTCACTTTGGTACTCTATGCCAGTACATCTTGATTACTACTTTTTCTTGGCCAAGAATGATCCTGTGACCGATATCGTACGTAACAATGCATGCATGTATTTCATTCATCCTTGACCATATCACATCACGAGATTCCTTCCTTCCCAACCCCCACAGTCCCTACAATGGAGGGACTGTTACCCAGACTACTTGTATCCGCTGGTACCTACGCTAGATTGCCCTGTACAGTTGATAATGGAAGACTGTAGCAGGGGTCACAAATTGGCATACAATCACCTGTAATTGTGTTTGTCAATGCCTGATTTCTGTCTCTCATTCTACACCAAATCCATTTTGAAATAATCTGTCCAATAGCCTCAGGTGCAGTGAGTCCATTGGGGTGATTCAATATCACATCCCACATTACACCAGTCAATAAGTGCTGAATGAAATTCCATAAGAACGGCAGATATTATAAATTTGCATATTTCTCAGCTTAACTTTGATTTGCCACTTATGCTTTTACCAGATTTCATGTAACTACTTGTAGATTCTTGCACACGCTTCATGTTGTACAATGTCAGATCCTTTTTAAAGATTTTTTCCCCCTTTTTTCATTTTTATTACACAACTACTTCATTGCCCACAAGATGAAAGTTGACATACATGTACAACTGTTGGGGTCAGGTTACCCAACATGAAGGTACTAAGTGGAAAGAGTCGGCAAAGTACATGTGTATTGGTGTCAAATCCCTGAGTACATTAAATCATATTCCCAACAATCTCATGGTACAGCTCCTTGCTTAAAATAGTCACTACCTTTCCCCCACACCCTCAATTCAAGGACAGCATTGTGGTCACACAATGGTCTTTATACAGTAAGTAAACAGGGTACGGAATAGACATGAAGAGGGAATTCCCTGACAGCTACTTTATACATGCAAGAAGCACCTTCAACTGTAGACATGTACATTGCACACCTTACATAGAAAAGCTTGCGGTGTTTAGAGCCTTTTGTTATTCATGGTAAAGCTTCTGGTTTTGAAAAGGAATTATACATAGCTGGCCTTACAGGATACAATCTCTCTTGATCATAATGCTATATGTATGGGTACCGACAGCCACAGGTTGGCCTTTTTGACACATAGTCAGAGTAATGCAGTGATCTTTTTCAAGATGTATTTT